GCCTTTTGTAGGAAATTCTTGATTTTTCTCATATCGGTTCAGATCGATCGGGGTTTTATGACGAACAGAATAATTGCGGTCCTATATATCCTTCTCAATTATTTTTTTTAAAATAAATCATTATTTTTTTTAATCCTTCAAAATCACGACGTGTTTGAAGTGCGAACGCATAATTTTTTTTTCTTTTTTCGTTTTTTTTAGTATCATCTGTGTTTTTTTTGTTTTTTTTTAATGGAAGTATATTGACATAATGTTGATGGTGATAATGAATATGTCTCAATATGAATCGTTGTCGACTCCAATGAAATCGAAGAAAGTTAGTAAGCTGAAAGGGAAGCACCGGGACTTTGGAGCATTTACACTAACAGTAAGTAAGTATTTTGTATCTATTAGTATTAGATTTGTGGGTCAGATACCGTAACAGAGTCGTATGCACGATATGGTAAAAGAAGATGAGGCAGATAGGCAAACAGACGGCTGGAGGATATAAGAAAAGTCGGAGAGGCTCCGTGGCCAAGAACAACTGGAGACAGAGACGAGTGGAAAAACCTGGAAGAAGCCTGTGTGTTAAAAAACACGCTGATCTGATCTCTAATTAGGATAACTGTGTTAGTTTATAAGTTAGATTAATCAATGTTACTGTCAATTTTTCTTCAATCAATGTTACTGTCAATTTTTCTTCAGTCAATGTTACTGTCAATTTTTCTTCAGTCAATGTTACTGTCAATTTTTCGAAGCTCGTTGTAAATAGTTATTTTTAGTTTGCTTTTATTTAATTTTTATCTTTTTGTATCTTAAGTTGTATACATATATTTAGTTGAATGCGTAAATACTTAAATAATGCCCAGCCAAAAGTTGATATGTAACCAATGATGAATTCGGGCGAATGCTGATAATGAGTCGTGTCTATTAGGTACCTAGGTAGGTAATATCGTAAATAATATTTAAGAAGTTAAATATTGACTGATTATATTTTGTACACAGGCCACACATCAATCTATACAAAACCAGTTTATCCTGGTGTCGCGTCGCATCATCTTTCCGCACATTTAACGTTCAGTTTATACTGGTTATGTAAAGCTCGATGTGTAGCCGTGTGTATGTAAAATCATCAATATTCATAACATAAAATCACCTATGTAAACAAAAACTAGTTGAGAATAGACGCCTTAATGACTTCCATACAATGCCACTTAGATTTAGAATTATAATGCGTTCCACGGAAGATTTGGAAGGTTAAAACTGTTTACAATACAACTAAATATAGGTAACAATTGGTAAAAATAATAATATGTATCCACGTAGTCATGTATTGTATTTACATAGGCACCCCTACCAGGGAGCTAATCTTGAATCCAATTCCGATCGATCGACATTGGTATTGTGAAATTTCGTACTCTTGAGTTGCAACACTAGCGCCCATAGCATCTGTATTGCGTGGATATTGAGTGAACTAAATGGTATTAAGTTTGGCTTTACCTATATTCCGCGCAGCAGCTATGATTGTGGTTGTATAGTTTTGACACTGAATAAATATTGAGATTTAAATTGCATTGACATTTAGATTGGTTTCAAGAGTAAGCTCCCAGATCTTTAGATTAGATACTTTTATCAAAAAAATAAATAAAATAAAATAAATGATTGTTAATTTGATCTACCTATTTATTTAGATAGCCAGTAAGTTTCAGTGCCCTATAAAATTACCTAGGTTTTTTTAGATAGATCGAAATCACACAACTCGTCAATCATGCTGAAACTACTGCACGGATACAGCAGAGTATGGGTTGACTTAGGTGATAGGATACTTTTTATCCCGATTATCTGTGGAAGCATCCATTTGATAAAACAGGAATCATCTACGCGGACGAAGTCGCGAGGAACAGCTAGTAATATAAATAAAATGAAGATAAAGATATTAACTCAACCAAAAGTTTTACCAGTAAAAGTAGTAAACAAATCAATGTTTAGCGACTACCAAAATAAATAAATCCCTACTCTTAACAAACCCTCAACCATTATCCAAAATTCGAATCTAAACAAGTGAAAATAAAGTTCAAATTCTTAATAAGTATCAGATATATATCTTAACATACAAAGCAACTCACCCATTATTATATTCTCGATACAAAACAACACGAAGCGTGCACTCTCAACAAATGTTTGTAACAAACTGGTTCCTTACTGCTGTTTCTCAACCTTATAATTCAATTACATACTTGGCATGTTTGCCGGCCAACACCAATATACGACATACATTGCGTGCCTTGTTAACATTCTGATGCTACACCATGCATACTTAAGCGTCAATGGATGTGCAAAAATGTTGGTTTTGTAATCAAATGTTGGACACAAACATGATTTATGATAAGCAAATGTAATTTGCAAGCGATGTCAAGGTCTTAGGTCAAGTTTAGAAGCGTGGGATGCCTAAATGGATTAACTAGGTACATAAGTACTGAATGAGAAGATTTATAAAAATAAAGATATATTTATTTGTATAAATATGTGTGGGTAACATTATACAATATATCAATGCAAATGCAGATGATAAAGTGAACACTGTATAAATGCATATTGTGTTTTTCTAATAACTATCGTGCGTAAGGTATACTGAATTAACTAACAATGACGAGTGTTGCTACAAGTCCCCCAGTGACTCGAAACTAGTAGAGCTTTTCTCAATATATTTACGTGAGTAACTCATCATCATCATCAACAGCCTATAAATGCCCACTGCTGAGCAAATCCTCTTCTCACACGGATAAGGTTTGAGCATTAATGACCACGCTTGCTCAATGCGGGTTGGCGATTTCAATCTTATAATTAGAAACCAATCTTATAATTAGAAAAAAGTCCAGGTTTCCTCACAATGTTTACCTTAATAATCATCCTTAATAGTCTCTTAGAAAGTACATATAACTCGGAAAAAGTCACATTGGTACTTGCCGTTGGTAGGTTTCGAACCCGCACCCTCATGCATGAGAAGCGACACCGACCCCTATGACCCCCCCCCCATGAGTAACTCATCATTGGAATTGGGAATGGGAGAACTGAGAAAGGGATTGCGCGTACGAAGCGTTCGGCAGAAGCTGGTAATAAAATTTAAATACCTATTTTATAAATGCCAATTTGATATTTATTCAATAAATAAGTTTATTTAATCTAGGTAGCTGTGACTCAGAGCCCAGAATAGTGCCCTCATGCACTAGGTATAAACAAACATTCGATATATGATAGGTTCATGATGTTATCGACTGTGACCTACTCAGAATATGATCAGTACCTAGGTATTATCTATACTTATACATATATACTTATACTAAGATTATTTAGACACCACTGACAAACGGTGAAGGAAAAACATCGTGAGGAAACCTCGGCTTATAATTTCTAATTATAAGTTTGAAATCGCCAACCCGCATTGAGCAAGCGTGGTGATTAATGCTCTAACCTTCTCCGTGTGAGAAGAGGCTTTGTTCAGCAGTGGGCCTTTATAGGCTGTTGATGATGATACATATATACATACGTACATACATATAAAAATTCCCGTTCGTTAGTCTCGCTAAAACTGGAGAACGACTGAACCGATTTGGCTACTTTTCGTCTTGAAATGTTTGTGGAAGTCCAGGGAAGGTTTAAAAGGAGAAATGGGTCAGCTAGTTATTAAATATACCTAAGGAATAAGTAAAAAAAACAGAGAGAATTAATGCTGAGCAAGGAGTTTTCGTTTCGATATCCAGAAAGTCATTGAGCATTTGAGCCTTTTTCGAACTACCTTGGTTTTGGGATTGGTGTATGAATTTGAAAACATGCTCTCCTACTATTATGTATTAATAGCCCTATGGCTCTCATAATATAATTGGTAAAAAATTGGACTGTCTCGTTGGCCGAGTGATCCGAAGCGCGACTGCCGGGCAAGGGGTCTCGGGTTCGATTCCCGGGTCGGGTAAAGTATTAGTAGCATGGAGTTTGGAATTGTGGCAATAGGCTCACCCCTTACTACATGGGACTAATAACATTATTAGGTAGTGAAAAGTGGGTGTTACTTCTGTGTGCACCTCTGCCTACCCCTTCGAGGATAAAAAACGTGATGTTATGTATGTAGATATAATAATAAAGAAGTTTTTTTTCAGTCTGTTTTTAAAATTTGTGCGTACTATGTACTATATTCCAGATATGTTATCAATAAATTGCACTCTATTTACGTGAAGACATGAAGCTATCTTAACAATTTACTCTAGTATTTTTTTTTTCTTTAACATAACAAAATAATGGCTGTAATAATAAAACGTTGGTTGGTAACTGGTTTATAGGTATATGGTTGTAAAGTGCGCTATCAACCGGTTCATTCCCGGTCTTTTTGTATTGTAGTCTTACAAAACACGGAACAAATCTGGTTTTAAACACATTATGGCGTGCGGCAGTTGTTTTTAACCAATGTATCCTGTCTGGTGGGAAGATTGGACGAGTTATAGAGTTAGAATTAAATTAATAGCGTGGGATAGCAACGTATTTCGTAATGTAGGTCCTTATGCGTAACAGTAATGTAGCCAGGAAAGGAAGGATTTTAAGTTTCCATGCAAAATAACATTAAAAATATCTACATGTAGAAACATATTTGCATAAACACAGTAAACAATTTGAAAACATCTAAATGTAATGTTAATAATGATATAGAAGAAACCAGAAGAGCCATGATCAATGCTGCGATTTGAATATAGCGCCATCTGTTATAAAAAAGACACAACATTTAGAAATTCAGTCATATAATTTGTTAATAGATAGAGCTACGTTTGACAATGTAAACAAAGTTATTGGGAAAATGTTTCCTAAAAAATTAGTTTTAACAATAAAACAGATTAGGATCTATGGATATAGTTGTTTTTGTATTTGTAATAATTCATTAGAGTCATATACAGGTAAATATTTTTCTTATAATCTATTGTCGAACACTCAATATCAATATCAATTTCAGAACGAAGAATATTCTGACGCCTACCGGATCAACAGCGAACTAAATTCAAATATTTCGGTTCAAACGTCAAACCAATAACGAACACACGAATGTTTGTGGAACCAAATTGTTTTTTTGTTTGATATTTAGAAAAAAACGATTGTGAATCAGTAATTATTGTGTAAAGTGCATACAAACTATGTTAACTGTGTAATTTGTGACATTTGTGTATTTTTATATTGTATAATAATGGATCCTTTCACTCAGGTACGGCTGGGTGATAATTTATGTGTTAACGGTCGCTATCTGCAAAAGGTCAACAAGAACATGGTGTTTTAATTAATTTAATTTATTTCCAGCGTATGTTAGAGAGGGCGCGGGCCAGACAGGAGAAGATCGACCAAAAACTTGCAAGTACCGGACAGGTAGTTCCGAAGAGGAGACCTTTGGCAGAAAACATCACTGTGCTAAAATCCGAGAATTCTCCTGTGAAGTCTCCTAATAAAATATCTCGGGACTCTATTTCATCGCCTCGGAGGCTGTCTAAAGATGGTTCAAAGTCTGAAACTCCTACAAAAGCTGTGGTTAAGAGATCGAGTTTGAAGGCTGATGTAGCGTCCCCGCAGCGGGGTCGCAACGACATTGTGGTTACCAAGAAGGAGTTTAAAAGTCCAAAAAGGGGGAGTATTAATAGACGGAACTCCGATGTATCAGTGGAGATCAATATTTCTCATAGAAATGATATTCAAATTGAAGTGCAAGTTGAGGAAAGAGATGCACCTATCAGTGTTGTGTATGACTCACAGGCAAACCCTGGAAGCAATGTTATCATCAAGGAGATCACAGGTAAGGAGGTTTTGAATTATAGATATTAAACTATTTACTGCCTATTTCCTGTGTGATGTGAAGGACATCAACATAATTCAAAGGTGGCTTGATTACTAGATATAAATAGGTATTTTATAGTTGAAAATCAACTTTAAACCTTTCTGTCAGATTCTAACTTAAAGTAAACAGTATAAATAGGTTTTTAATTAGTTGATGTGGTACCAAATAATACTTAAAGACTGACTGCATAGTCAAGTTAGTACTTACTGCTTAGTCCCTTATCACATAGCAACTACATTGCATTTAAAAATACAAAACAATGTATGATGCAGTAATGAATAAGATATGCTATTGTCCCTTCATTTTCTTTCCCAAATAGGTTCCAAGCATAAAGGTATTTATCTAAATAAGGAACCACAATGACTAACCAGAGCCAATGACACTTATTTTTTTTTTATCTTTATCCTTACAAGTTTGAACCTCCTTGCTTATTACTTATTAGTCACCTCTGGAAGATAATGGTTTCTAATAATTTGTTAATGCTTCTTGTTATAACAATAGTTTATTAGTTTTAATGTAAACAGTGTTAAGTTTGTGGCTGTATGAAATTATTTTGAGTTTGTTTTATTCTGTGCGGTCTGTGGATAGTGTTGTGTTTAAACTTAAAGTTTTGAATTTGGAATTAGGATTTATGATGGGTATTTTTTTTATTATAATTATGGGCAGTTTTTTTTATTATTGCACAGTGCACAGTTGTCTGACTACGTTCAATATTATAATATATATAATATAATTGTATTAAAACATAATTTTCAATGGTGTAGTGCATAGAAATCCTGTTGAAAATTATTTCTTCAACTAAAATGTATTTAAAAATTTGTCTAACATATGAGAAATAAGTCTTTTTGTTTCTATTTCTAAGTAAAATGAAATGAAAATTGCAGATGGCTCATCCATCAACTTGGAGAAGGCAATTGAAGATGCCTCCGAGGCCAAGACCCAACGAGGTGGACTGCGACACAATGTCAAGTCCCGACTTGATAGACTTGGCAATCTGTATTCAGGTATGTGTCTTGCTTAAGGTTGGAATTTTTAAGCTCTGATATCAATAATATAGACAAATTAATCTCTTGTGGTTTTTGTGGATGTAACGAATATCTCTATAACTATAGTTAAAAGCGTTGCCTACAAATCATATACATGTATACTTGTAGCAATGTCTTAATCCTCGATTATGATATATCAACAACATTTATTCATACAAAAGTAGTCTCTTATCATCAGAAATAAGGTCTATAATGGAGTAAGTGGAGAGGATTCACTGGTGACCGCTTGGGGACTTGGGAGTTAAGATAAGATAACACACTTAAATATGGTACTGCAGCTGCTAAGATCCAACCACTTAGCTACTGCCGCAACAGTGCTTCAGTCATAATTTTACTTAATTCATAGCAAAATATCCTCTGTTACTAACTCATTAGATTACTTTCCATACTTATTATAGACATAACAGGATGCTGATAATGAACTGTATAGTGCGATATGTTACTTGATTGTTGGTAACAATTATACAGCCGCGGGTTCGATTCCCACACCGATTTCTTTTGTAATTTTTTTTGTGTAGTCTACATACTTTATTTAAAAGTTAATTTTGACATCTGTATTTAATTTAGATCATTTCTTTCCTAGTTCTTTAAAATGTATATCTTCTAGTATATTTCATTTAATTCTTTTCTTTCCTGAGTATATCTTCCAATAATCTTTTGAACATAGTAATAATAATTCACTCATCAATATTATCCATTCAATTTCCAGATAAGCCAACCCTCTCATCGCCCATCCACCGCACGGAGCTGGAGTTCACATCAGCTACTCCACCAGAGCCCGAACAGCTGAAGCAGCAGAAGCCTCGCCCCCAGGACGGCAAGAAGAAGTTCGGCAGACTAGCCGCTTTAGCAGACCAGATCAATAACTGGGAAGATGATCTGACACATCATATTGTGAGTATTTTGAATTAGACCTTATTTTTATTAAATTACAATCAAAAAATGACAAAATATAGACTGCCTAGTTGTCGCAAGTGCGACTACCGGGCAAGGGGTCTCGGGTTCGATTCGATAACATAAATAGTGAAAAGTGGGTGTTACATTGTACAGTGGTCTTAAGTGCCGTAATGTGCGCTTCTGCCTACCCCTTCGGGGATAAAAGGCGTGATATTATGTTATGTTTTATTGCATTAGGGTTAGTTGTTCTTCTGAGTGCCTTCAAAGAGCCTTCAGAGTACCACAGATGGGGCCCACTAGTGTCGATGCTTGGTCGGCGTCGCGAGCAAGGCAGTAACCATGTCCATATACTGTAGTCTCATAAGTCTATGTAGGACAAGAGTAGGAATGCCATAAGTAAGAGTCTGACACTCCTTCTCGCCTCACATATTTTCCATTCTCAAAAATAAGATGTTTGTTCAGTACACTGTATGACTAAATTGCTGGGTTGATTTCGATGTATGAAGATATGTAGTTAGAAATAATTTGAGCAAGGCATTAAGACGTTTTCTTTTTATTCAAATGTGTTTATTTTTTTTGTTAAAAAAAAAAAAAAACGTTGCCCCACTCTAGGATTTTCTCCTGTGTCGTGGGTGCGTTTACAAACATACAAGTTCACATACACAAAGACACCCAGACCCGAAACAACAATTTGTGGATCACACAAAGTGTTGTCCCGTGCGGGAATCGAACCCGCGACACGTTGCACGGCAGCCGGTTGCCCAGCCACCGCACCAACCGTGCAGTCAATTTAATATGGTTCATCCATTCGGTGGACAACTGGTAGACTTAATACCGCAAGCATTTACAAATAAATAAAATAAATAATTTCGGGAACTAGTTTCTATCTATTCCAATGAAGTTTTCCTGCTTTTTGTTTTGTTAAAATAAAGCTTAGGTAACACTAATTAGTTTTATTTTCGTTCTTACACTGATTGGCAAAGGTCACTTTGAATTCTGTATAATTGGATATTGTGGTTTGAGTCATGCTTACCTCTAACCATACCAGACTGTATGACTATATAATAATCTATACAGATAAATTGAATTGGAGTGTCTGTTTGTAATATTATGTAGTAATAAAATAACCGTTTTTGTAAATAGTGCATAATTATTATGAATAATACATATGATACACATACCAAATTAGCATTTTTTTATAATTTTTGTCTGTCTCTTTGCTGGTACTGGCTAATCTCTTGAATGGTTGGACCGATTTTGACGGGACTTTTATTGGCAGATAGCTGATATATAAGGAGTAGTATAGGCTATTTTTATTTTAGAAATTGAAACATAAAAAAAGCTATGTCATAAACTTCATATACTTTGCGGGCAAAAGCTAGTAATAAAAATAAGTTCATTATCTTGTAAGACACAGAATACTATATACATGAAAAAATTGTTGAGGGTTCTGTACATGCATTACTTTTTAAAGATTTCTTCCAAAGAAAGAAGAAAGATTGGGTTCCCTTGGGTTCTAGTTGTATCCTAAAATTGAGATCAACTATTGAGAAATGGATGGTCAGACTTGAGTATTAGTAAACCTATCTATACAAGGAAGAGGTTGTTGTTCAATAGTGGACAGGTGTAGCTAGACAGCTACACCGCTAAAAATATATGAAAAATTTTTATTTATTTATTTAAGTTTTATACAATACAATTGCATAAGGAGGACTTAATGCTAACAGCATTCTCTGCCAGTCATCCTTTGGGTAGTGCAGAAATGTATGTTAGTGGTAATTATCAAAATTAATAAAGAGCATCAAAGCACACATAAAATACGTATATAAGAATATATAATTATACATATATATAGATAGATAAAAATATCATCATACATATAATCTATCTATGAGCCGTATATGAATTTATCCTATATTAAAACAAGATGAAAACTAATAAAGGATGTAATGAAACTGCCAGCTTTCCGGTAATGTACTCACGCGCCCTCCGCTTGAAACTCAAACGACTGGTTGCGGTTCTCTGTTATCAGACGATCACAGTCAGGGTGCGTTTACAAACATACAATTTCACATACACATGACACCCAAACCCGGAACAACAATCTGTGGATCACACTAAGAGTTGCTCCGTGCGGTTGATTCCCGCAACGTTGCGCGGCAGCAGGTTACCCAGCCACCGCACCAACCGTGTCGTCAAGATAGATCTTCTGTAATTAATATTAATAAAACCTTTCCACATTCCAGCCACCTGAACCAGCAAAGAAGGCGATAACCAAACCAGAGATTAAGAATAAGAAGGAGAAGAAGATGGAGAAGCAGGAGATACTGGATGCATCCACGGTAGATGTGTCTATACACTCGTTCCAGGACATCAACAAAGTGCTGGATACTACTACCAAGGCTAAACAGGTTTGTCATGACTGTATTATTTAGTTTTATCTAAAACTACCGTTGTTCTGTGGGATAGAAAGTAGTAAAAAGGGGGTGGTGTAATCTCAATGTCAATGCAATTTCAATCCAATAAACTCTCAATAATTACCCAATGTCAAAACTATACAACCCGGAATATAAAGCCAAACTCAATACCATTTAGTTCATTAAATATCTACGCAATATGGATGCAATAGGCGCTAGTGTTACAACTCAAGAGCACGAAATTTCACAATGTCAATGTCGATCGATCGGAATTGGATTCAAGAGTAAGCCCCCTGTTCCAAATTTCATCCCGATCCCTCGGGCCGTTTTGATGTGAAGTAATAAACACACAAACTTTCGCATTCTTAGTATTAGTAAGATTAGTAAGATAATAAAACTATCCACTTCTGCGCATTTCCCGCTACTCGGCGCATAATAATCAAAGCGTGATATTTTAAGGCAGTTGACCGTCCTCAATTAACCCGTGGATAACCGATTAACGTAGATATACACAAAACACAATGCGTTTTCTATTGTATCTTATACTATTATATAAAGCGGAAGAGTTTGTTTTTTTGTTTGTTTGTTTGTTTGAACGCGCTAATCTCCGTAACTACAAGTCTGATTTGAATAATTCTTTTTGTGTTGGATAGCGCATTTATCGAGGGTGGCAATAGGCTATAAAACATCACTCTACGACCAATAGGAGCTGGGCAGAGCGTGTGAAACCGCACGGAAGTAGCTAGTCTTACATATTGACAGTCAAAAGGTTAATGGTATCCAGCACAAGAAGAATTTTTTCAATTCGAACTAGTAGTGCCAAAAATTAATACGTCCAAACAAAAAAGATCTTCACATACACTTTTTTATTTAGTCTAAGGGTCGATTTATACTACCGCAGAGTCAAAGCGCACCGAAGCGTCAAATTCTTCACAACTAAAGCGAAGCCGCACGAATGCGCGCGTATTCGAGAGTATACGCGCGCACTCTTTGACGAGTAGTAGGTAATGGGTATTAACTGCATGGATTATATAAGCATGCATATTTTTGCACCAGTAAATTAATTTTTCGTCCAAATCCATTCGCTAATGGGCGTGTACGCGAGAATGCGCGCGTCTTTTTAAAGTATTCGAAGCAATGCGTGCGTTACGCTGTTGGGTTAAGGTTGAATTTGTTATGTTTAGTTTTGAATAGATGCTTCGATGCGCTTCGACTCTGCCCTAGTATAAACTTACCCTAATATTAATGCATGTAGATGAAATCAATTTAAAAATCTACATTTAAATCTGTTAAAGGTCAAATTAGCTTGTATCAGACAAGATAAACAAATAAAATGCCTTCGTCCACAGACCAACAAACACGTAGACTCGAACACATACACGAAGTCTTCAGTGAACGAGTGCCAGAGACTAGGCAAGCAGATTATAGCAGAATTGGTGAGTACATAGCATGTAAGAATAACACCATTATACTCAAACTACTATTTAAAACACTGTGATACTATAAAATGTCCATCAGCAGGTCAAGCTTCACTTTTCTTTATTAGATTTGAACTTTATTGTTTTGATATCTAAGTCAAAAATGCAATGAAGATTATAACATTGTTTGAGTATATTATGGTAGTAAAATAGTTTAATCATTTGTTTTTTTTTATCTTTTCATGTTTTGTTTTTTTTTTCGATGTGTGCTTTCCGAATGTAGGTTTTTGTTTTATGATTTTAATATGAATGAATAAGAAGAAAATTTGTTATGAAATTCTAAAATAATGATTTTAATATGATATTTTATGGCAAGGTAAGTTTGGTCATTTTATTTATGATATTAAATGTTGTCTTTAATCATTTTCCTATCCTTTTTAAATGGACTGCTTTGGTCGCTACTAGCTACGATGTGAAATTTATAAGTAACTGATTAAAAAACACAGTTAACATGCATACATCAGATGATAATCAAGAACCTAATTTAAATCATCATCTTCATTAAATCGGTATTACTAAACTTTATTGTCTTACCGTCATACTCATAGTCATTTAATGATTACCTTTAAATGTGGGAAAGCCATGCTTCGGCACGAATGATACCACGAGTGAGTGATACAATGCCCTAACAGAAAACCGACGTGAAACAACGCTTGCGTGCGTTGTTTGTGAGGTTACCGGAGGCCCAATGCCCCCCCCCCCCTCCCTTCCCTAATATTCCCAATCCCTGAAACCCCAACGATCCTTAAACTCCTAATTTCCAAAGGCCGGTAACGCACTTTGTAACGCCTGTGGTGTTCTGAGTGTCCATGGACGACGCCAATTGCTTACCATCAGGTAATCCCTGTGCTCGTTTATCGGCTTATCCCATAAAAAAACTTGAAGTATTCCTTAGTAACGATTTTGTTCCAATAACAACTGCTAAGGACTGGGTTAGGTCACTATTAAACGGCTTTGAGTACGGCGGTTAGCTTTTATAAGACACTTTGCTAATCTTAAATAAGTCTTAGTTTTTGTTTATGGCTTTCCAAAGCAGTCCATTATCTAATCCTCAATCCATTCCTCCATTATACCCCCTATTTTAATAAACTTTCTAAAATTATTACAATATCAGTATTTTCGAAAACCACTAATTTTTTATACCTACTAACCTAACTACCCTTAGTTTCTTATGATTGGTGCAATGGTACGGGTGAACGGTACGTGTTATTAACAAAATGGTTTTGGGTTTATTTTTCAAAATTTTTGATTTGTATTGCGATACGGTTCGTTTTGAATTCGTCGGTAAACGGTGAAGTTGCATCATTGACGTCTTACGTACGTTCCACGTAAAAAATACTTTTCCGTAATTGATATATTATTCAGAAATAAAGAAAGAAAAGGTATTAATTCGACAGCAGGGACGCACACAAATACAAAGCTTATCACTACATAGTATAAAACAAAGTCGCTTAGATCTTTAAATCTACGCAACGGTTTTAGATGCGGTTTTTTTAAAGATTGAGTGATTCTTAAGGAAGGTTTATACACATAATACATGCATATTGCACCATTGCGAAGCCGGGGCGGGTCGCTAGTAAAAAATACATAATTGGGTCGCCTTCTATAACTTGACAATATGTAACGCCTGCTCATATTTTGCGAGTTAATTCTTTAACGTCCAAGTGTGATTTGCTCAGCTTTTTGTAGTAGGCGTTCTTTTACACAGTTCGTTGAAATGATTTTTCATTTTGAGCAGTTTTAATTATACACTTCTGTATAGGACTACAGAATAAATAATGAACACATTTGTAAAATAAAAAAAAGTAAGCACATTAGGAACTGGTAATGATTTTAAAGTGAAACTGATTCCAATGGTGTATGTACTATACAGTATGTTACTATACCGTTTGGGGCCGTGGCAAATTCATCGGATGGGATGGATCCACGTTTTCCAATAAAAAAACAGAGAAGTTCTGATGAAAACGGGAGCCATTTCCAGCTGGGGCCCCATGGCATTTTGCCGATTTGCCACCCACCTATACCGTTTGAGGCCGTGGCAAATTCATCGGATGGGATGGGCCCACGTTTTCCAATATAAAAACAGAGAAGTTCTGATGAAAACGGGAGCCCTTTCCAGCTGGGGCCCCATGGCATTTTACCGATTTGCCACCCTATAGTTAGGCTACTGTTGTGTACAATATATTTTATTGATAGATACTCTGTTACGTTACGATACAATCGCATTGTATTGATTATCATAATATTTGTCGTGTCGACAATGTGCGAAAGATTTGCGTCGTAAGTAGTAACAATGCAACCTTTATGGAACAAAGAGTTCGGTTGTTATTCTTTGTTTAAGTCTCTATTTTTATACGAATTCTTACTATAGATAGCTAAAATCGTGGGTTACTTATGTGAATATACTTAGAAAAGCTTTACTAGTTTTGAACCACAATCATTTTAACGATTTCTGTGGTTCGAAACTAGTAGAGCTTTTCTCAGCATATTCATGTGAGTAACCCGAGATTTTAGTTAATTAAGTATGTCACACGATAGTCATTATAAAAACATTCTTACTTATAAGTAAAGTAATAGTTAGATTAATTACAAAATACCACAAATATACATAATATAGTTTTATTTGTATATAACTTAGTAGATAAATATTGAATCTATGCAAAAAAAAATAGGTACTAACTACCCTAAGTCTGGTAGACTTAGATTTTATATAATGTCTAACCAACGAGACTGCCTCGTTGGCCGAGTGGTCGCAAGTGCGACTGCCGGGCAAGGGGTCTCGGGTTCGATTCCCGGGTCGGGCAAAGTATTACTGGGTTTTTAAAAATCTCAGTAGTAGCACGGAGTCTGGAATTGTGCCCGGTATATGGCAATAGGCTCACCCCCTATTACATGGGACTCGTAACATAAATAGTGAAAAGTGGGTGTTACATTGTACAGTGGCATTAAGTGCCGTAATGTGCACCTCTGCCTACCCCTTCGAGGATAAAAAGGCGTGATGTTATGTTATGTGTGTTATGTTATGTCTAACCAAGTTTTATTGCTTCTATGAAATTATTATTACTTATTACCTTTCACAAGATTGATACAAAGAAAATATTAATACAAATGACTTCGTAGTTTTCTTTATTCCTCTGCTAATCAAGGATTAAAGTCGCGCCATGTATCATCAATTTGATGTGGCGCCCGCGCAGCATGCTAATGAAGACGAATTATTTATCTATTGACGATCTTTCTGATTTGCATGTCCAACTAAACTATAAATATTATTATTGGTAGTATTTTATTTTAACAATGAGTGTCTTGAACTTGGCGCTACTAAACAAGAGGTCCTTTGTGTCCTCCGGTCCGCCGGTGGCCCGTGTTGCTCTATGTTTGTGTCCCCGACCAATCAAAATATTTTGTTTTCAAAAAGTTTGAGTTCATCATTTCATTAAAAAATAAAATTCATTAGTCTGAACAGGCTATTTTGTGTTTTAACCACATAAAAAGTAAGTTATTTTTAAAACAACAGCTGTATTATCTTTAAAATATGTCATCAGGAGTTGTAGTGCTTTCGATAAAGTACTTATCTGATAATTAAAGTTATATGATAAAACAGTCATAATTTATCATCATGGATACTCTTTAAAATGTCATATGAACTTTGTATTAAAAGCTTTTTCATTGACTGAAGTACTTTTGATTTCCCCACCTTGATAATGGTGTCAGTAGTGTAGTCTACACTAAACCGAAAATTCACTTCGTTACAGCCTTTTCTATATCAAAATTTAGAATCGGCTGTCGGCATCGGCTCCTTCCATTCTTCTCCGCTCTTGGCGGTCCTCGGCAACAGACATCTGGTTGCTTACTCTTGAAACTAACCTCAATGTCAATGCAATTTCAATCCAATAAAACCTCAATAATCCTAAACCTCGTAGCTGTTAAAATAGCATTCAAAGTACGGAATATAAAGCCCAACTCAATACCATTTAGGTCATTCAATATCCACGCAATACGGATGCAATGGACGCTAGCGTTTGCAACTCAAAAGTACCAAATTTCACAATACCAATATCGGTCGATCGGAATTGAATTCAAGAGTAAGCCCCCTGATCCTTTAACCTAAGTAGAGGGTGAACCAGTACCGGATGGTTATGATCAGCTTCCCCATTCTCATAATATATCAGTGAACTACTGATACTCTCCGGTAACCTCACTCACACGACGGAACATAACGCAAGCGTTGTTTCACGTCGGTTTTCGATGAGACCGTGGTGTCACTCCGATCGAGCGGGCTCATTCGTGTCGAAGCATGGCTCTACCACACTTAAAAAGAAGAAAGCCCCACATCTATTGAATCTCTTGATAATGATAATTTAATTGGTTTCTCTATCTTCATTCCGGAATAAAAGACATTGTTTTACATCATTTCTATATATTTGGACGGTACGTCTATAAATAAAATCCCACCATATCTAAGTCAGCCGCCCGCGCTACCCTTTGTCCTCGCGTGGACGTGGCTTGCGCAGTTTAACGACTTATTTTGATCTTTTATGGCTATATTTAAAGCTTTAGTTATTTTCATGACGACCAGATGGGTGGCCTTTCATGACGAAGCGAGTTTTTGATGCTGTGGTTGCTTTGGCGGGAAAAAGGATAGTAATTTGTAAAACTACGTTTTCTACGTACGTATCTTGTTTTGTTTCATTTTATGGGCAACTAGTTTGATTCAGTGATACTGTACTGTACTATACTATATTGATAAGTCTAAGATTTAAGGCTAAATACTCAAACATAACTAGGTGAACGAAGCAATTATGATCTACTTTTTGCTTACAATATCGCTGGACACTTAACTTCAATTCCTAATGACATTCTTGCGGGAGTCATTGTATTTATGAATATATTTTGAATACTACAATATTATCCATAATGATGATGATAATATTTTGATGCACAATACCCATTTTGACAAC